CCCCGGGTGTCGCTCCCTGCGGGGGCCCCACCCGGCGCCGGCCGCGACCTTTGCCCCCAGGGACGGGGACAGGGACGGGCCACCCCACCCAGGCCCCGGGCAGCGACCGGCGGGCGACACGGGCAGGGCCGCCCCCCCAGCAGCCACCCTTAAGTGCCACCCACAGCTGCGCTCCCCTTTCTCTAGGGGCCACCCTTAGGTGCCACCCCCATATCACCTCGTGTGACCCCCTGCCACCCAAGGCCACCTAACGCCCCACCCTCCCCTATCAGCCCCATCAAGGTGCCACCCAAGTGCCACCCCCACCCAAGGGACACATCATATAACACACAGGGGCCACCTCGGTGCCACCTGCACCCAAGGGACACCCCTCACAGCCCTGTCCCACCACCCAGCCCTCCCACCTCTTCCCTAGGAGCCACCTCCACGTGCCACTCCCCACCCAAGGGACATTTGGGAGCCACCCCCATGTCCTGTCCCTCCCAAGGGACACCCAGGTGCCACTCTAGGAGACACCCCCGCTCAAGGGACACTCAAATGACCCAAGGATCCACTAGCAGCCAGCCCCAAGGTGCCAGCCAGGTGTCACCCACCCACCTAAGGGACACCAAGGTGCCACACTAGGTGCTACCCCCCTCAAGGGACACCCATGGGCCAACCCGACCCAGGACCATGCACATCCCCACATTTCCCCCCTCCCCCCCCAACCATTTAAAGCCCCCGCCCCGCCCCCCAGCAGTTCCTCTCATTTTTTTCCCGCGTGGTCCCTTTAAGACAGGCGGAGGGGGCGTGTCCAGGAGGAGGGGGCGTGTCCACGGTGGAGGAGAGCGTATCCAGGCGGGTGACGGGAGGCGGGGGCACCGCCGAGTGCCGGAGGGGGCGAGGGCGTGTCCTGCAGTAGGGGGCGTGCTCCGGCAGCTAAGGAGGCGTGTCCACGGCGCAGGGGGGCGTGTCCACAGCGGAGGGTGGCGCGCGGTGGGGGCTTGAGAAGACAGCGAGGGGGGCGTGTCCGGGCGGATGGAGGCGTGTCCCGGGGGTTCGGGGGCGTGTCCGGGCGGATAGGCGGTGTATCCCGGGGGTAAGGG